AAAAAACTAAAAATAGTTCAGTTAACCCACCTGAGTCACAGATTATTAAACACAATTTTAATTAAGTACAGTTAAAAAATGAAGTATCAACAACACAAACGTAAGATTCTGTGTGTATTACTACACAATTTGACTTGGAGAAACTCTCAGTCATTCCATGTTATCAATGTTGTGTGATCTGCTTGTGATCTGTTTCCTTGCCCTTAATTTTGTATTAAAAAAAAATCTCCCTCCCCAAAGCAAAGTAAAAGTAGAGGTGCTTAAGTGATTAAGCAAAACTTTTAGCTTGTTGAAGAGCATCATGTCTTTAGCAGAAATGATGTTGCATTTGGAGAAAATGAGTCAAGCACTACACGGGAGTATATGAAAATCCGTACCCCGAGCATCCATGTTTTCCTTTGTTCTTTTGTTTTTAAATTCTGTTCTCCTTGGGACCATATGTATCCATGGATGGCAAGCATCTGCCACAAGTAAAATTAAGTTCCACTCCTCATAATTCTATTACCTAAGGACAACTATAACTAACAAGTCTTCTCACCATTGTCACCAAAAGAAATTAATCAAGGCTTTAAACAAATCACCTAATAAGATAATTGGCAGATGTATGGGCACTGTTCAAAAATAAATCTGATCATTTTGCTTTCCACACTTAAACTAGAATTATGTGAAATTTATAAAAGTATTTCATAAATGAATTCAATAGCAAAATTGCTGAATTAAATTAGTCGAAAGGAAAGTCCTGTTCTGCTTGGTGGACCATTACTTTATATTCTTTCCATGAAGTTGGTCACATTATTTTTTAAAAGTTATGTTAAATATTTTTCAATTTCCTCATATTCTAAGACAAATCCTAAAAGAAAAAGTTACATAACTATTTTAATGGGCTATATATACTGGATACATTTAGCTCTGGTAAACAGAAATCCATTACTTGACCTTTAAATGATATGCCACATAACCTAGTGGTGGACACTGATAATATAAAATAGTTTGGACTTTAACTCTCAGTGTTCATAATCTAATAATGTAAGTGATGATCCACCAAGAAACATGACATTTGTGTAGACTTCTAAACCAAAAAGAAACAATGCAATTGGAGACAACTTTATTCAACTTTAATTCCAATAAGAAATTTTTGTATAACAAAAATTAAGGGAATTGATTCACTTTCTGTATACTTGAGCAATGGTTTGAAGATGATATGTCTCTCTGAGCTTTCCTATACTGGAAGCTAAGGTCCTTGTGTGGAAGTTTTGATGTGCTAGAAAATTTAACAGACAGAGCCATAGCCTGGCACAGGTGGCTCATGCCCCTCCCTGTCTATTCAGGAGGCTGCGACGTGAGTCTATTGTTGGAAGCTCCCCCAGGCAGGAAAAGTCCATGAGACTCTTATCTCCAACTAACCACAAAAAATGCTGGAAATGATGCTGTGGCTCAAGTGGCAGAGCCCTCGCCTTGAGTAAAGCTGCTGGGACAGAGCCCAGGTCCTGAATTCAATCTCCAGTACCAGCACCAAAAAGAAAGCAAGCAAGGAGGGAAGGGAAGAAGGGAGGAAGGGAGGAAGGGAGAAAGAGAAAGAAAGAATAGCAAGCAAGCAAGAAAGAAAGAAAGGAAGGAAGGAAGAAAGAAAGAGGAGAGAGAAAGAGAGAGAAAGGAAGGAAGGAAGGAAGGAAGGAAGGAAGGAAGGAAGGAAGGAAGGAAGGAAGGAAGGAAGGGAGGGAGGGAGGGAGGGAGGGAGGGAGGGAGGGAGGGAGGGGAAGCGGAGGCTTGTTGTAAATGATTAGGTCATGGGCTGCCACCCTTGGAAGGTACTGATGCCTGTCTCTAGAAGTGTCTAGGTCTCCCCACATGTAGAATAGCTGTCATGAGAAGGAGACATTAGGACGTGATTCCGCCCCCATGTGGCTGGCCCACTCTACACAGTCTGTTTCCTTCCCACTGTATTACGTTGTGACCCCACTAGGAGTGCTTTGCCAGGATGCTGATATCATACTGTGTGGATCTTTCAGCCATCAGAGTTGTCAGCTAAATGAAATTATTTTTCTTTATCATCCACCATCCATTATTTTGTTGTAACAATATAAAATATACTTACAGTTGGTCTTTCACTTTAAATGTAGAATGTAGATTTCTCAACGGACATGAACCCTTCTTAGGAATAGTATGGGGTGAAATGAATACTTAAAGGAAAATGAATGTTTTAATAATTATTGTGTTCCTTCACTCATGCCTAAAGATTGCATAGTATCTGTTTTAGCCTTCTGTCCTTGAAACCCATTGGTCTATAATTCCACCCCCATAGCTATGCAGTGGGTATTTGAAGAAATAATCATTGTAGGGAAATGTGATAACTGCTAAGGTATAATCACAGAGGCAGCTACTGTAATTAATCTGAGCCATGTGGAAAAAGGCAGTTGTGAAAAATTGGTCCAAGGTGATGGTCCATATGCCACAAATAGTCTGTGAGTATTTTCTTACAGTCATGAACTTTGAAGTGTGAGCAGATAGAAGACAACATCAAGTGCTCCCAAAGTTCCTGTCATTCCGGTGCTCTTCTCTACCACATTTTGCTTTCAAAGTCGTAAGCCATTAAAAGGAAGATGTATTTTACCCTAAAACCTTTTCCATCAATCCAGTAAACATTTAAATAATTTTTGGTTATGCATTGATTTTCGTAATCTTGCGATTTTTTTTATAGAGTCAAATTTGATAGAAGTCTGATGGTCAATCTTGAAATCAAAATCATTTTATAACTTTAACTGGACTCCTCTCTATGTCTCTCTCTTTCTCTGTGTCTCTCTCTTTCTCTCTCTGTGTTTCTCTTCCCACTCTTTCTCTCTCCCTCCTACCCTTTCCTCTTCTCTTGTCTCTGTTTCACTATTATTCATCTTTATTCTCAGACTATGACAAAGCTCCAGAGCACCAAAAAAATGTCCTGCTGCGCACTTCTGAAGATAGATCTAAATCATTGAACCTTACAAAATTTCACATTAATCTTATAAAATCTTATAACATCATACTTTGTACTTCCTCTGGTGAAGCGTATTGTTAAGAAAATTTATTTATAAAACACTTTAAGTAACTTCCACTGTCAAAATATGTTATGGTATTATCGTATACCCCAAAACTGATTTTAATCATCATTTTAATCTTCAAAAGATAACTTATTCCTTTGAATTTAGGGTTTTCTTCAAAGTCAGAAAAAAACAAGCTTTTTAATTAATTGAAATGGATAAGAGTAAAGAAAAATGTTATTGAGCTTTAGAAAAAATTATTTAAAATACTAAATTATGGAGCAAGGAAAAAGTTTAGCAACAAGAAAAGTCTAGGTGTTTTGGAAACTTACATGTCAGATTAAAAATAGGATGTGGTTCTTTAAAAACAAGGCAAAACACCAGTTTCTGAGCTATTATAACAATACAAAGTCTAATAGACTAAGTCACATTAATTGAGCTTAAAAAATGTTAAAAGAATACCAAAACAATCAAACCATTTAACATACATATGTCATATTGAAGCATAATAATCCCAAAACAATTACTGCCTTTTGGTAGCCCTCAAGTACAAACATTTCCAGGAACAGTAGAACTGATTGGTAAAAGCACAGATCCGTCCTTGACTCTCACATTCTTTCTTTGTGACGTGATGTTTCTCACTAACCCAAAACAAAAACTGACACACACGAAAAGAACTTGTTGTGCTGTGGAAAAGTTATACCGCTTCACGGTCCAGCTTCACATGATTACAACACGAAGATTACGCACTTCTGTACAGATTCCTGATGCTAGTCATTTTAATGCCTACTAATCCTTAAAATGAGGGGCTTTCCTGATTGTGATAAAAATTAGTGAAGTGGACCATACTTCAGAAAAAGATACAATGATTAATCTCTCTTGCTGGCGAGCCATCCGTTAGTTAGCTATGAGATGAGCTGCGCACATGCAGTTCTCAACCAGAGAACTGTAAAAAGGAGCTTTTAAATATATATGCAGTCTATAACCAGGAATCTATTGGATGTACCAGGACAGGTGTGTGGAAGGAGACAGGTTAGAAAATGAAGCATCAGTGTGGATTTACTGCTGCCATGACCATTAAGGCCTGATGAAGAGAACTACTTACCTTTTGCTTTTTTTTCTTTTTTACTTTTTATGAAGTCAAGCTAAAGTATCGCTTTCTGAGAGTGTGTCAGGAACAAGTGGCAAATTGTACTGCTGACCCTGCGAGAGATCGTAGGTCCCAGTTGTTATGCCATCCTCTGAACACAGAAAGAGCTATATCAGAAGTCTGTAAAAATCTTAAATTGTCATAATAACAGCTGAGCAAAGAGAATATTCCTATTGAAAAGAAATTAATGAACACGTGTAAAAAATGGACAGTTGGTGTTAACCCCAAGTTTTGGACGTGAGGAGTAGAGTTTAGGAACCATAGAAATATAATACGGTCTTTATATGGAAAGAAAACCATACTGAACAAATATCTGCCATAGGAGTCACGCTTGTCACAGTCCCCATTAAAGCATTTAGCAGAAAGAAATGCTTTATTATGGGCAGAGAAGCCCTTACTTTGTTAATTTCCAATAGAATATGATTGTCTTTTCTTGGGAACAAATTCAGAAATTCTACCCTTAGCTAACGTGTTTCTTTTTAGGTCCAAACCAAATTGTTTCTAATTAACTTTAAAAAATGGAAATAAAATAACTTTTCAACTTCTTCAGTAGTAGCCTCATTAGAAATGAACACTCTCCAACCTGTCAATTACTACATGGACATTAATAAAAGTAAAATTTGTTTCTTTTTATTCTGATTATTAACACTGACTAAAAGAATAATTAAAACTGGTTAAAAATTTGAAGTATATTCCATCCATATTTTAAGAGCCATTAATGAACATGATTAATGTAAAACCTTTAAGAATTAAGTCATATTACTAAGCCAATATATTAAAACATTTATACTGAAGTTTGTCCTATTTCACCTTATATAAATTATGGAGAATGTTTTTAGCACATAGAATGCTTCACAAACCTGCATGCTATCCTCACACAGGGGCCATGCTAATTTTCTCAATGATCTTTTCAATTTTTAGTGTATGTGTTGCCAAAGCCAGCACTAAGTTATAAGCAACTTTTGAACTTTTCAAGGACAATCAGTCTTTGAAGTTAGAATACTTTTATCCATGTGCTTTTTTATCCAAATAGATTCAATCAGTATTTGTTTCTGTTTTATTTTCCTTTTTAGCATCATTGATCACACATACATTTAGAAATCTCAATAATTCAAGAGTATAATATTCTCAAAATGTGTGATTCCTGTCTAATTCTAATTGGAAAAGACTCCTGAGGAGATATTATTGTTTGTGTATCCATATCAGGTTTGAACTCATGCTCTTATTTGATTTTCTTACTCACAAATGGTGGTTTAGTTTTAGCACCATACCTCCAGACTTGTATTTTGCTAACTATCAAATATAAAATCTTACACACTTTTTCTTTTCTGCCCAGGCTGACTTCAAGCTGAGATCCACCAGATCTGAGCCTCTTGAGTAGTTAGGATTATAGACATGAGCCACTGGTCCCTGGCTGAACCATTGCATTAGAGGTTCAGAGAATCCCATTTTGACCCCACATACCTTCTATTTGATGGGTTCCTTGTCAACTTGATCCTGTCCTTGTAACTACAGTATATGGAACAGACTGGGCAAAAAATAGGACACATAGCAATGTATGATTTAGGGTTTGGATAATGTACTCTCTACACCACTTTTATTCTACCATAAATGTGCTGAACTAGACTATCTTTTCCTCTTCTGCTTCTCATTATATGTGTTAAAATAATAGAATAGCTATCAGTGAGTTTAACATAAATGTCACCACATATGCATTTGTGAAACACCATGGTGAAACTCCTTAGAACAATTAACATCGACTTAGCAAAAAAAAAAAAATAATAATAATAATAATAAAAGAATGACAGAAAGGTAAAACGGCCAGGCACTGGTGACTCAGGACTGTAATCCTAGCTACTCGGGAGGCTGAGATCTGAAGATTATGGTTCAAAGCCAATCTGGGTAGGAAAATCTGTGAGACTCTTCTCTCCACAGTTACAAAAAAAAAAAAAAAAAAAGCTGAAAGTGGAGCTCTGGCTCAATTGGTAGAGCACTAGCCTTGAGCAAAAGAAGCTCAGAGACTGTGCCCAGGCCCTGAATTGAAGCCCCAGGACTGGCCAAACAAAGGTCAAAATATTATTCCCTAATAAGAGAGAATACAAGTCTGAATCTTAGCCCTCAACAATCAAACCTGACCCTTTAGGACATCCAACAGAAAATAAATTTAATTTACTCACTGGATTCCTGAACAAACACTTTTATAAGCTATGTGGACCCCAGATGATTATTCTTCTTGTCATGATCAAAAGAATCAAGAACTTTTTTGATTATACAAATCATTGCTATAAAAGCCAGGGGCTAGCTCATATTACATGATTGTTGGCTAATGATAATTATCTATGTAACTTACTACTTCTTTAAAATAGACAAAGTTGGCCATGTGCCAGCTGCTCATGCCTGTAATCCTAGCTACTCAAAGGGCTGAGAACTGATGATGGTGGTGCAAAGCCAACACAGGCACGAAAGTCCATGAGACTCCTATTTCCAGTAAACTACCAGGAAGCTGGAAGTGGAGCTGTGGCTTAAAGAGGTAGAGCGCTGGCCTTGAGCAAGCAAGCTCAGGGACAATACTCAGGCCCTGAGTTCAAGCAAAAAATAAATAAATAAAATTATTTGGTAAAATACTGTGAAGATTCAATGAAGAGCTTTTATGTAAGCATTTCTCTACTGGGCATGTGTTGATTTTTAATTTCAGAGATGAATAACATGTATAAATATTCAAAATAAAAATATATTTATACATTGTTAATTTCTAGTCTAGTCTATTTAAGAGTAGCAATTTTTAAATACCATCTACTGCTATAATTGAAGACGCTTTCATCCTGTGATAACCTGTATGTTCAATATATGAAAATTTAAAAAATGAATTTCAGTGGTTTAATAAAAATGACACTTCTATTGTGAAATCATACAACAAGGCCTTTCTGATATCTCACCATCTAGCCCAGATGTGAAATTATGATTGTTATGTGAACACATGGTGCCTGTAATTAAAAACTTCCAGATTATATGCAATTCAAATATACTATAATCCTTGGAATCTATTATTTACCTCAGGACTAACATGTAATATCCAGATTCTAAGATATCTTGGTTTGGGGGAAAAATTAGATATAAATGCATCACTAGTTAGACAACTATTCTTTTTTGAGCTGCTGTGGAGACATGGTTGAATCATGTGTTTGTACAGTGGTGGCTATTTATCACAGTAGATCCTGACAAAGGTCTTAAAGCACCAACCACTTTGGGCAATATGTCATAAGCAACCAGTTGGAGGGCAGTAACAAAATACTTGGCTGACCATTCTACACTAGAGACATCTGTTTAGCTTAGCAGGATCGCAACACTAGGCACTTCTATAATTTGGATCATGTTAATATCCCAATTCATTTTATTTTACAAAGATTTAAACAATATCAAGAGACCATTCCATGTATCTTAGAGCTTTTAAATGCTAGTTGTATTAGACTAGTTGTATTCGACATTATATCATGATATAAATTTTATGTAATATTTTACGTAAAAAGGAACTGCATTTTATGTTAGAGTTAAATTAAAAGGACATAGTAGGAAATTTATATTTTTAATACTAAACTGAATTTTATTCATATATAAATCAGAAGAGTTTGATTTATTGGGGTGATTAAATAGATGGATGCTTTTTTCCTTTCATGTACAGGTTAAATAACTCAATACTGGTTTATGTTCAATATCTGCCAGGTTCTCAACCTCATATATGGCTTCAATAAAATTATCTTAACCTTAAAAATAACCTTATAAAATGATGTGGTTTATATGTAATTGTCTAGTTAATGGAACTTAATGAGGTTACAAAATATTTTCAAGGTTAAATGATTGACATATGGCAGAGCTGGGTTTAGTCCTGCTGTATGTTTAAAAATCAAACCTCCTATTTGTTACCTACTTGAAAAGAAACATCTGTATTCTGTAGTCTACATATTATTCATATTTATGAGAATTCATGCACGTATCTATGATGTTTTTCTGGGGGGGGAGGGGTCCGGACCCCTGGTACCTACTCAGTCATAAACATTCCTGTGCTAGCTGTTCATGTGACTTGAAAACTTCTCATAGTCCATTGATTTTACTCATCCATGCAGAAATAGGGATGAAAGTGACACAGGAGATACTAAATTATGCAGAAGACATCACATTATTTTGCACCAAGGAATGAGATTTTTCTCAGCTAGAGGAGTATTCACTGACTCCTTCCCAGGAACGTACGTCTCGAAAGAATTTAGCAGCATCAGTCTTCATGTGTCCTTCTGAGGCTAGTGTATAAACTGAACACAAGTGCTTTTGTGGAACTTCTGTTACTACTGTATGGCAATGTAGGGAGAGAGGGAAGACAAAATGGCTCCTAGGACTGCACTACACGTAAGCTTTTCAATTAAAGTGACTTCTCCACCTTTCCAGTCTCTGCCAAGCCCCATTTTAGTCTCACTACCATCATCTAGAAACTGCAGACAGAGCAGGTGACTTTACTATCTTTCCTTTTCCTCCTCGCGGTCTTTTCTCCTTGTCCCCTGAAGTGACTCAAATGTTCTGTCAATCTAAGTGAAAAACTATTTTTACCACAGTGTTTGGAAATCGCCAGGCACACACACTGTAGATTAGGTAAATTACAGGGGCAGGGTTTGTGTTACTTACTTAGCAACCACAAATTTAAAATACTAATCTACCTTTTCTGAATGCTACTTTTCATTCAGCTGACCTTTCCTTCCCCTTAGAACTTTTAGGGCCATTCACCACCCTTACTAGTTGAGCAGCTCTTTGGAAGCTAGTCTGAGTTCTAGTGTCTTTCCTTTCCTTTGTTTTTCTTTCCTTCCCTCCTTCCTTTTCTTCCTCCTCTCTCTTTCTTTCCCTCTTTCCCTCCCTCCCTCTCTTTTTCTTTTCTTTTCTTATTTTTTTAGATTTTAAGTATTCTTACCACAAAAAATTGTGCACACTAATGCATGTTTCTTTACATCTGTATTTATTTATAATAGATTTTTTATTGTAAAGATCCTGTACAGAGGGGTTAGAGTTACATGAGCAAGGTAATGGGTACATTTCCTATGAAGCATTGTTACACCCTCCTTTATTTTTCCCCTACCATCACTTTCTTCCAACTCTACCCCCTTTCTTTCTTTCTTTCTTTCCTTCTTTCTTTCTCTTTCTTTCTTTCTTTCTTTCTTTCTTCACTCTTCTTTCCTTCCTTCTTTCCTTCTTTCTTTCTTCCTTCCTTCCTTCCTTCCTTCCTTCCTTCCTTCCTGTCTATCTTTCTTTCTTTCTTTCTTTCTTTCTTTCTTTCTTTCTTTCTTTCTTTCTTTCTTTCTTTCTTTCTTTCTTTCTTTCTTTCTTTCTTCCTTCCTTCCTTCCTTCCTTTCCTCCTTTCATCCTTTTTTCTTCCTTTCCCTTCCTTCCTCCTTTCCCTACCCCATTTTCTTTATTTTCTCTCTTTTCATATCTGGGGAAATGCGGTCATTTTCAGTCTGGCCCTCAGTTCTGCATCTCAGCTAATGAATGGAACCACTTTCTTTGGATCCAACTATTTAACAATATAGTCAGATCCCCTAGAAATAATCCACAAACCTCCTCTTCAACAGTTGCTAAGAAACCTTCATCTTTGTTTCTACATTTATTTACTCTTTGAGCTTTCTCCTACTTCAACACTATCTCAACATACATGTTTTTCCAGAAACTACAACTTTGCTCCTCAGAAATAGAACTCAATATCTCATTAACTTCTGTCCCTCTTTCCTTCAGAATTTGCATTCAGCAGAAACTTTTAATTGCTAAAATCTTTGACAAAATGGTATTCATTTCCTTTAAGTTTCCTAACTCGTAAGCACTCTTGTGACCCTTAGCTGATGTCCCTCCCCCACCCCAGTAAACCAAAACATTAACAAAGGCATGGGATGTGAAACACTATTAGTAAAGTC